CGGCCAGGCCAGGCCAGGCCTAACGCCACTGCCGCAGCCCCTGCCCCAGCGTCAGCTTTTCGTCACCCAAAAGACCGAAGTCTTGTAAACTGAAGCTTAACAAAAAAACCTACCTAGGTAATGAGTTGTGATCACCACAGCCTCAGTCTGCACGTGAGCCACAGCTCCAAAAGAAGGAAGGCAGCGAACCTCTGCAGCAAGCCTGCGGCCTCGGCCGGAGCTGTGCTCCGGGGACGCAGCAAGGGAGGCCTGCAGTGCCTGGGCCGTGACGGGGGCGTGGGCAGGTACCTCCTGCCGCCTTCTCGGAGAAGCCGGAAGCCCTGGAGTGAACACTACGAACGACCGCTGCTGTATTAGCAAACAAAGTTTATGACCGAACGCTCCGGTATACATCAATCTTTATAACAATGATGAACGCTTTTATACATTTGATTTTTATCTGTTATCTGTTTTTTTGACTATTTTTCCCAGCTTTATCTCTAGGAATAGTTTTTAGTCTTTTTGGTCTAGTGCTCTTCTTTAATGGGACTGCTTTTTCACCAACAAACGAACCACGAGAGCACCTCTTGTCTTTTAACGCAGCATGAACTCTGTCCTTAGGAGCACGAGACCGATCGGGGCTTTTCTGTGGTGCTTTCCACTTCTCTCCACAGCGCTTCACTCGTATCTTTCTTCCCATCAGAACAGAGTCGTTGAGTTTCAGAGCAAGATGTACAGCATCCGTATCCTACAAGAACAGACATTCAGTTTAAAAGCAGCATTACTTCCAAGTGATTGCTTTCAAATAAATAGTTGCCTTTCTTTGATTTTTTTGTAAGCAAGATGTGACAATAAAGAGCGCTCAAACTGCTCTATTCGTTGAATGACACAACATCTCTGCCCTGCTCAGGAACACCAGCACGCCCACGTAGCCCACGCACTGAGGCACAGATAATTCAACAGGGGCTATAAAACAGCTTAGGCGAGACGTGAAAGACAGAGGCAGGGAGATGAAGGAGAAACTGGGGAAAAAACATATTGGGCTGCAGGAAATAAACGAAGGAAGACGAGGCTGGGAGACTGCCATGAGAAGGCGAGCTGTACTGAATCCAAAACGGAGCGCCAGTAAGCAAACCGGCTGCAGGAAAGAATTCCACTTGTATTTTGACATATAAAAAGTGGGAGAACACTGCAGTTACACTAAGCGAACTCAGCTGTCCCTCCGTTAAGTCTTTCCCTTAAAGTTCATTTCTTTCACCCCAACGTTTTACAACTTTTCTTTGTACACAACTTAAAATAGTTTGCTTTGTGTCTGCTTCCACAGAACTGGTCTTCCAAGCTGCTTTTAACGTACACAACAATGCTACCATTTAACGTCATATACAAATCCAAAAAAATTGCTGAAAGAAAAAAATTTTAAAAGGCCATAAAGGCAAATCCCAATTCAGATTCTGAAGAATTCCCAGTGTCCTGAAGCACGCCATGCTTACGTACCTCAAAGAGAACGTAGCCGAAGCCTTTACCCAAGCCGGTCTTTCTGTCTCTCACAATTCGCACCGCTACTACATCTCCACAGACAGAAAAGTGGTCTCGCACAGCATCGTCACTGATGTCTGCAGGCAAGCACAATGAAACAGGTGCCTCTTCAGTCAGACACACAGCTTTAGAAGCCTGACCCAAATCCAAATATTTTATATTGACCAATTCAGGTACACAAACATATATATTTAAATATATATATTAATGTATAAATATATATAGGTACACAAATATCGGTGGTTCAGAAAAATTCCAGCAAGTTAACAATGCAGACTTTATAAAGGGCTACTTACTTTGACAGTTACTGATTCTCTAGCTTTGAAGAGTACAACATAAATCATAAAGAACAAAGGCAAAAACCAAAATAAATTTTTCAAATCATTTCATTTATGGTTTGAACATAGTGGAAATGAAGATTCGTGCTACATTTTTGTAGCTCCTTCTTATGCCAGAATCTCTTTCTAAGAATTAATGCTGATGATAATGAGCTTGAGCTGGCAGTTCTTGAAGTCTCATGGCTCAGTCAGTGAGCATTAATTTTAGCTGACCGGGGGAGAAGGGATTTACAGTTTCCAACCACAGTTGCTATACGATTATTCTGATAAAGGCCAGATGTGTGAGGCTTTCTCAGTCTCATGCCTATGCGAACAGACAAGTGTGATGTACCAATACAAAACCAGAAGTTATTCTCTTTTCTGTATAGGTACGCTTCATACTATGGTAAATGCCTTTACATAGATACGATCGTATCTCTGCTAAGGGGAAGGTCTGAATTTAATAGTACAGGTTTAATTACAGCAATGGGACTTAGATGTGCTGAGAAAGGTTCAAGCTGCTGAAGTCATTTTCAGAGCACTGCACATGTCCAAACTGTTTTTTCTACAGGATGCACAGAGGAACATACAATACTGACACAAGCTCTACACAACAGGCATTAGTAATGTCACCACAATCAGATTTGTCACCTATCCAGATTTTCAGACAGCTCAAGTTTTAGGCTGAAGTCTAAAGCCTGTTTGTTTCAGCATTACTGTCGGCAGCACGGGGTGCTGGCCCTGCGCCAGGCCGTGGGCACGGGGCACGCCTTCATCCTGTGCATTTACGCGCCCACACCACCCCCAAGTGAGATGCCTGTCCCAAGGATCCTGACTCCATTAATACCCTCACGTGGACCATGCCGGATGGCGATCCCTTCGCCTACTCTCCAGTCTACTCAGAAGCAGTTGAATATTCATCAAGCACTGACCTCAACTATACAGTAAGCACCGCCACATGGGTAACAACCGATTGTCAATAGCTGCCTGGACAGTCGCTCATCCTGTGGCTCACAGACAGCATCAAAATGAGAAGCCATCACTGCATGTCACTTGGAAGTAGTTCACAACCAGGTACCAACACGTGTTTAACAGTTTAGAAAGCTACGGCCTATGCAGTTTAGTCATCTTTCCTTAAAAAACACCAAGCGACAACAATAACTAGAAGTGCTTGCAGTTCTAGCTACAATGAAGAAAACAGTTACTCTGCAGAACTTGCCAGAAACTTAGAATCCCTTTAGTGTTTCAGTTAAAAAAACAGAACTGCTATTTAAAAAATTAATTCCAGCAAAAGATATTTAGCTACCTAAAAATGCTACCCTAAATATCAATTAAAAAAAACCCTAATGTCAACACATTCCATAGATGTTAAGTAATGATGCATAACAATGCATTTTAGACTTACCATATGGGAGATTTCCCAAGAATACAGATCGTTTATTGTCATGCTAAAAAAAACAAGAGATACATGACTAATGCGGGGAGCCGAAAGAGAAAAGGGGTTTTCTAGTCACACATCTTACTTACCGTACTGGTTTTCGACGCAATGTCAACTCTGATGTGAAATCCACTAGCAATTTCTGTTCCATTTCTTTTGTAGCCGAAAGCAAAAAGTTTTAAAAATGAAATTAATAAGTGTTACTTAATTAACAACGTTACTGCATAGCATTATTCCAAAAGACATTTACTTCTAAGTTTGAAAAAACGTTTTATTCCAATTCAAGCAAAAGAGAGGACGTCGTTTAAATTGATCTTTTAACACTCTGTAAATCTACCTCTTCAACAGATAATGAGGAACAAAACCGAGACTTACTCATTTAGAGCCTTAATGGCATCACATTCTTCCTTAAATACAACATAAGCATTAACGAACTTCGCATTAGGGTGCACCTTATGCCTGCAACATGAAAAAGACGCATGTTGTTTAAATAACTCTGATGGTGTGCAGTGCACAAGCACTTCTTGTTAAACACATTTATGCCTCCTCTTGTTTTGTGCACAGCAACAACGTCATTTCTCTTAAAGGTCATGCTAGCCCCTTATGTCCAAGAGAGTCTCACTGTACGTCTTACACAGCCTGTATATGCACCCTGATCAAGCTTCCTCAACTCATAAATATATCCAAAGGAATTAAAGACTATTAGTGTCTTCCGCCTTCCTAAAATATGGGAAATGCAACCTAAGATAATGCATTACTTACTAGTATACCAGGCACATAATTATTTTTCAATTGTCAAGAAAACTTACATACACACAAAGGTAATTACAGGAGTCAAAGAAACACAAGATTAAAAAATTAATATAGCCAAACAGGTAACAACCAACACTTTAAAATTATTTTTTACTTGAAAAATAAAGCACAAAATTCACAAGAGGAACCTACTTTATTGCTGCTAACTTTTTGGATAAGGTATCTTCTGCTGGAACCTTTAAGATAAAAAGAGCTTTAGTTAAGTGGGCCTAGTGTCAATTTATCTCAAATATTTGGTTTTGAGGACAAAAGAGGAATTCAAACAGGTGCCATTCCCACCCAAAGCAACATGGCCAGTACAGCGAGCAAATGATGTAACTGGCTATTCCTAGAGATGATCTAGAAAGACCTCAGAATTAGATAGCTTGCTTTGACTTCATCTGTTGTGTTTCTTGAGTTCAAAGACTGCTACCTGCAACTATTTTACAGAGTACACTGATTTACAATCCATCTGTCTTTGCTACTATGATTTAAAAACAGGTAAGTAATACCTTAGCTAAATGAGCGATAATAAAAGCATTCTTCTTACAGAGAAAACAGAGCCCTGATAGTATCAACTGCTGCTACAGGAAGAATCAAATGTGATGAAAGGGAAGTTGCATCTGTGGTGCCCCTGTGGTAAAATCTCCAAGGATTCTTCTAACAGCAAAAAAATACACATCCAAACCTGCTTCTGAACTAATGCACCCTACCCTTTAAGATCAGAAACATAATTTTGTTATATAACATCAGAGGAAATAAACCTACCAAAGACCGGAATCGAATAGATTTTATTTGTCCATACTCTTTAAAAAGAGATTTCAGCGCCTAAACAGAAGATATTACAAATATTCAATATGTTTTTGCATCCTGGTAATAACAATTAATGTTGAACATTTATTAGTAAGATTGTTTTTACACTATTTTCCTTTTATTTATACCAAGTCCATTAGAGGGCTACTAAAAATATGCAAGTAACTTGTAACTGTGCCTGTGTTTCTTGTGGCAGCTTCTAATTCTACAGATTGCCAAAACTGAATTCATACCCCTTACTATGGAAGAAAGTATAAATTTAACATATTTTATGCAGCAATCTGAAGCATTATTTGCATTCAAAATTAGAAGCGGTCTCTAGCTTTGTAATTGTAGTTCTCATTTATTAAGTCATTTTTCACTGAAAAAGAAACTAAACAATTCTACTAAAGAAAGAGCAACTCCATCCACTGCTGCAAAAGCCTAACGCCAGTAAAACAAAAGAGATTGCCTCTAATGGTTTCTGATAATGAGCGTTATTTCCCACCTTCCCAAAAAGCAGTTTTAGTCACAAACAC